GGAAGGTGTCACTGTGCCATGGAGTCTGACCTGGGCGGGGTACCACAGGCCTGGGGAGCAGGTTACCATTCTCCCTGTGTGATGAGCACTTTACCCACGGAGTGCTTAGAGGAGACACTCTAGATAAGTCTCTGACTGTTAGTTTTGATTGCTGCTTACCTGTGCAACACTGGTGACATTGAGCTTAACAACTCTTATTACACTTTTGGAGAAAAATTACGCTAATGGGCTAACTCTTCTTTGATTTACTCCATCATGTAGTTCGTATTTCACACCCTTCAACTCTGTAAATAGACCACTGAAATGTGAAAATTCAGTTTAGGCTTTGCTTCCACCTAGTTCGTTCCCCAGGTGCACTCCTCGGGTGCTCTCTGCCATAGGCATGCCCTATCCCTTTCTTCATAAGAGTTCAAGAACTGCTGCATGAAAGAATTTTGCACTGATAGGGGCAGAGCTCTTTATCATGCCTTTTGTAGATTCCTTCTGACACTCTGTGGGGATTCCTCCAGTACTGCACACAAGCTGTAACATCCCACAGATCCTCTGGATCAGCATATGCAGGCAAGTGCTGGATGGAAGAGGTTCTAATGTATGTGTGTGTAATAGATAGGAATCAAATCACTAAGCTGGAAAAGATTATTTTTCTTGTACATTTTATTTTTGTATATAAAGTGTTGTATAAAATGTTTAATAAAGTGTTTTATATATGACATTTTTACTTTTTCTCATGGGAGAGCTCTGAGGATGCATTCCAGCTTCCTTGAAAATACCCAAACAGATGTGCTGCTGAGACAGTTGGAGGGGTTTTTCCATGACTCATGAAAGCACAAAGAATTTAGTTTGCTCTCATTTTCTGCCCCCAGCCTCTTCCAAGTGGGTGGAATCCTACATGGCAGGGAAGGGGAGCCCTGGTGCTGTACACTGCAGGGTAGTTGGTCTGTACTTGTCATCGTCTGCAAGTCAGACCTGACTCAGAGCAAGGCTACGCTAAAAAATACAGCAAGTACAGCAAGTCCCTGCTATGGATGTTCCTATAAGCAATACCACTGGCTTCTGGTACTAGATCAGCAGTGAAGCTCTAGTTAAAGACCTCAGGTTTGCTTAAAAAGAGCAGAGGCACAATTCAGAAGACGAGAGGAAAGCAAGCTGGTTTTCCCCTGAATATTTGATTAATTCGCTGTGTTTCATGCTGTAAGGGTCTAACGTCATTGCATCACATGTGGCTGGATACAAGAGAGGCTGAGGCAGTGTGTGAGAGCCACAGCCACTGACACTGCCCGGAAAAACCCAGGAAAACTCCATGGCTGTGCTGGCCTTTGGGGAGTAACTTCATTTTCTGGGCCAGGGCCAAAAGAGAATATTGGGCTGCAGGAGAGGAAGAGCCAGCCCAAGGGGCTGGAACAAAGAGGACATTTCCTATGCCTTTGGCACAGGCTTTGCTGCAGCCTGGCCTGCGGGGCAGGGACAGTGAGAGGCTTACTGAGGGAGGAGGGAAGATTGAGTGCCAGGTCACGGCTCTCAAATCCAGCACAGTAAAGTGGAGGGGCAGCCTGGGGAGGTCCCTTTGTCATGTTCATCATGAACCAGCCCCCCTGGCAGCCCTGGCAGGGCAGACAGCTGCTTCTGATGAGTGCAGCCTGGCCTGGAGGGAGTGAGGAGCGTGGGGACCCTGCTGTCCCCAGAGCTGCCACGCTGCCTGGCAGGCACCTGGCCTGAAGGTCCCCAGGCTGGGAATGCCTCAGTACCTGGGCTGCCTTAAATCACACACACCCCAAATCCTGCAGATCTAGAGCAGGAACGTTTTTGCACAAGCAAAGAAATCCCCACCAGATTCTCAGTCTTCCAGTGTTTAAAGTGAGATTATAAAAGAGACAGCAACTTTTACCTCGGGCAGACAGTGACAGGACAAGAGACATGGCTACAAACTGACACAGGGTAGGGTTGGACTGAATAGACTTTGGGAAGAAATTCTTGACGCTGGAGGGTGCTGGGGCCCTGGCACAGGCGGTCCAGAGCAGCTGTGGCTGCCCCATCCCTGGAAGTGTTCAAGGCCAGGTTGAGAGGGGCTTGGAGCAACCTGGTCTAATGAAAGGTGTCTGTGCCCATGGCAGGTTGGAGAAAAATGAGATTTAAGGTCCCAAATTCCCAAAGCATTTGATGATTCTATGATTCCATGACCAGATTTGTGTCCTGATCAGCTGCAGCAGCAGCTTCTACCAGGGAAAGAATGTGGGGCTGCAGCCCCAGAGCTGCTCTAGCCCTGGGACAGGACCCCAGCTCAGCATCACCAACACAAGGAGGAAATCAGTTTCAAGAGCCCTTGCAAGTTTACCACATGTAGGGGGAGGGGGCAGGAGAGAGATGGGAAACTTTCTATGATGCAAGTATTGCTAAAAATAAGGTAGAGATAATTTGGCCATTCATGCATTTCAAGCAGCACGCTTTTCACAAATACGCTCACATCCCAAAAAAACCCCAGCAATGAAATGTTCACAGATAAAAGGTTAGACCAAGTTTTGGGAATAGAAGAAAGCAGCAGCAAGTGCCTCACAGCCAGGAACCGCAGATATGCCCCAAGACTATTTCATCAGGATGTTGGAAATGCTTTTCCTTGTTACCTGCCAAGACACCTGCATGTCTGACTGCATATTGGGCGTTTTACCAGTGAAAAGTGGCAAAGTCTCATAACAGAATTTGGTAGTTATTCAGCTATTGAAGCATCTGGGTGGATAAATGCCACCCCAGGTATATACTGCCAATTTTGTTGTTTTGAACTCTTTGGGAGGGGAAGAAAAACAGTGTGGTGCTTTTCAGCCCAGGAGAGGGACGACTTGGGGGCTGCTGTGCTGAGCTGATGCCTGACTGGCTCCTCCATCACCTTCAGGGCAGGTGGGACTTGCAGAAGCAACAGATTAAAGAGACTTTTAGGTCACCTGCACAGAGAGGAGCATCATCAGCTCTTCAGGATAAACTCCGTGCAATGGTTACGTGATAGAAACCTGACACTGGATTTTTCTGAACTTGCCTGTCCTAATTAAGCTCTTCATAAACCCAGTAAACTCTTCATAAACCCGACTCTTATTCTGTTGGAATAAGAGCAGTTTTCACCTGTCACATGCACACAGCTAAATTCACCTGGGAAGTGTTCTCATCTCAGGAGAGCAGGTCCCTGGGGAGAGCTACTCAGCCCTTTCAAACCCAGCCAAGGCAATAAATTTCCTATGGGCAGGGCTCAAAGGGCAAGGAGCTCTTGTGCCACGAACTTTGCATGACAGAAAGAGCTAAAGGCAGCGCAGCTGTTGTAAAAATAAAGACAGCTTCTCTGAGGTGGAAAACAAAAAGGAGTCGTTGTGTAATCACTGGCCATTTAGGAAATGAATGGAGTACTGCTGCAGGCTTGGAAGGCTTTCCATCACCTACCCCATCCTTACACCATCACTGCTGCAGCTCACTTGTGAGCCTTGGAAACATTCAAAAACAAACTAAAAAAATCCCTTTATTTAGCTTTAGAGCCTTAGGCCATCAGCAGGACAAAACCTCCTGAAACTGACAGTCTCAGATATAATCCCACATCCTGTATGTAGGAAAGCTCTGCAGCGTCTCAAGCACAGATTTTGCCCTGAGCATCCTGCATTAAGGTGGAAGAAGCTCCTGGCTCATGCCAGCAGAGGTTTCCAGTGCTGCAGAGGCAGGGTCTCACACATCTGCTAGCTGAAGCTTTTCCCAGGGAAAACCTGGGACCTGTAAAAAAGGAGTTGTTGCTTTTCCCCCAGTTTTTTTCCAAATGGATTCTCAGTGAGTGGCCCACCAGTGCCTGGAGAAGCCTCTGGCTCTTGGCTGCCCAGAGCAGTGGCACCTCATAAACTTTGCCTTCTATGCAGCAGAAAGTTATCCTGCAGTTATCCTTTCACCTTTATTTGCTGTGGTGATTGAATCCTGATAATCACACACATTTCCAGGCAGTCACATGATTTACAATATCACACCTGGAATGGATAGCAGTGCCACAGGTTTGAATTTATAACTGCAAAAACCAGTTGGATATCTATTTGTGGTGCAAAGGCAAACTATTGCTTAGAAAGCAACCAAAGGTCTTGGACTACAAAGAGTTTTCTGCTGTTGAGGATCATTCCTCCTCTCCAGTTCCACAAGGGCCCAATTTTCCCTCATGTTTGTAAAAACACAACACAAGGAAGACAGAAACTTTCTCAGGGCAAAAGACTCTCTCAGAGAAGGAAAGAAGTGTTATCCATAGAAAAGTTAGTGTTAGAGCTTAGATGGGGAAACATCTTTCCTAGAAAGGGAGATAGGGAGGAAAGACACAATTTCATGGACCAATTGTATCTAAGTTGTGTTTTCCCTTTCACCAACTGCTTCAGTCCACTGCTTGTACCTCTCCCACCACACTTCAGAGTTTTCTCCCACATTTTTCTATCCTCTTCAATATTTCTCTTGCTGTTAATTCATGTCTGTTCCTCTCCAGCCCTTCTATGTGCAAAACCCCCCAAGGCAGTAATAAAAGCAACAAGAAAAGCTCATTGGTGCAGGTAACTCCAGTTACTTGCACTGTGTCATTCCCCACTAACCTTTGGTCTCATTTGTCCTGATAAGGTCAGGATGTCAATTCAGCCAGTGTGGTTCCCTGCCATGCACTCTGTCCCAGCACAGCTTCCCCAGAGAAAGGAGGAGCTGGAAAGGGATGGGAAAACTTCCCATGGCCCCTTCCAAAGTTCCAACAAGAGCATGGCATGCACTGCCATTAGCTGAACTCTCAGAGGCAATCAACCAAGCTAGCAGAAGTCACAAATTGCCTAAAACCTAGAAAATCTGCTCATCCTGCTGGATTTGGTCCCCAGCTGGCTATGAGCAGGGATGGCACACACAGTATGAAAGACTCAGGGTTGCCAGGCATGAACATTCTCAGCCCCTGACTGCCTTGCTGACCATGCTGGAAGGTCAGTGTTACATCACAGGCAGCACAACAGGAAGGTGGGGCAGCCAGGAGGATCTGTAGCCACAGGGCTCAGAGATGAGGAGGGCCATGGACGGGCAAGGAGCAGATCAGGTGAACCATCCAACCAAAACCTCTGTGCCAGAAGTTACCAGGGTCTGTCTCTGCATGAACACCAAGGCAGTTACCATCTGTTCTGGTGTGTGAGGCTGGAAATCTAACACAAACATATGGATGAAACAGGCACTGGGAAACAGCAGCAGATATCCAGGGATAAGGAGTCTGATCTACAGAGAAAACAGGAGAGCAAACCCAGCCTCTCTCCTCTCCTTGCTTTTTGACTGACACAAACAGTGCAGCTCTCCTCAGCCTTTTTACCTTCAGAATGATCTACTCCCTTCATTTGGCTCATGATTCATACAGAAACCTCACCACGAAGCCTTTAAGGGCCTGGCAGTCAGCACCAGCCAGCCCGAGATGTCAGGTGTGATGAGAGTGAGAAGCTGTCAGCCCTCCCAGCACAGACCAGCATCTCAGATCCCACCAGTGCTCCCAGCTGCCACAGACCAGTAGGGAGGAAAGGCTGAGCTGGTGGCCCAGCAGGTTGCTCAGCCCCTGGGCCAAAACAGCAGCAAAAGATGTTTCCTAAGCTGTGATGAGAGGGTGGGAGCTCAGCTGTCACAGATGAGCTCAACACCTATTCTGCAGAGCAGTGTCACACCTCAGCCAAGGACCCCTGCCTGTTGTGCTTGTTCCCCATCACACAACGCCCTGTGGGCACGTGGTCACAGCATCAAAGCTGGGGCAAGCCAAGATGTGTCCAGCATCATCTGGGGACCTTCCAGGGGAATTCAGCTTCAGCAGCACTACGGGACAGCCTGAGCCGAAACAGCTGCCAGCCAGCCACAGGCAGAGGGAAGGACTTTGTTCTGTTTGTGTGGATCAGTGGTTGAAAACACAAAAACAAGGGAGTGGTAAAGGGCAGGTTCTCAAAGGGAGGAGGGAGGAGGAAGGAGAAGGGTCTGAGGAACTTTGGGCAACCAGAAAATAGCTGGAGGTTTTGCTCCTTTCAAAGCATGGGTGGTTTGGCATTGATAACACAGAGAATGAAGGACAGCAAACAGCAGAAGAATACTGGCCCTAATTCAAACTGAATTGAGCACAAGCATTACACATACCAGCTATTAAATAACAACAGCCAGGTGAACCACAGCATATCCACCAAATATGCTCAGTTCCAATATCTCCATTGCAAGAATATATTTCACTGAGTTTGTTCTTTCATCAGCTTAATATTACAAAGATTTCACCAACAGTGCTCAGGAAGCAGAAACTAACTGGGAAGACAAGTTCAAACAGGTACAGCTTTGTTTTCACCAGCTTTATTGTTGAAAAAATCAGGGAGCAGAGTGGGGACTGAGCTGGCCTGTGCCAGCCTTGTGGAACAGGCTAGTTCTTAGGATATTTTTAACAGTTCTGGAGGGATATGACATAGATTACTAGTGGCAATATTTAAAATCAGCAAGTGAATCATGTTAGACATCTATATTTCACATAGAAATAATAATTCTCTGTTTTATCCAGCAGCTGCCATTCCTACCCAGGGCAATCCTTCACTATCAGCTTTGGAGGAGCATTACTGGGATTTCTCCTGCCTAGCCTTTCACCCCATGCTTCTGTAAGCCCCCAAACAGGCTTCCCACAGAGAAACATGAGGAGCTTTGCTGGAAGCACAGGCTGAGCCCCTCAGTCCCATCCCTAATGAAGAGCTCAGCTCACTTCCCTGCAGTATTTCACTCACATTAAACAGGTATTTTATATTAAATATTCTACCTAATCAACATCCTGAGAGAAGCAGCTCACCAAGGTGTTTCATTACAATGCACACACCTTTAGGTAACCAGAGCATTCACGGGTTATTTAAGATTGGGAACAGCCCTTGATCTGCTCACAGGTATGAGGAAGCCTTGCAATAACATTTTTCTGGGTTCCACAGCAGGGTGACATCTTCCACCAAGGAAGTGAGTGCCAAGGAGTACAGGCAGGCTGAGGGGGTGTCCTGCCAAGACAGTGTCTCCAGGATCAGGAATGACTCTGCTCTGACAGCTTCTGCAGGGAGTAAAATGTTCTGGAGAAAAGGAGGCTCAGGACAGAACCTCATTGCTCTCTACAACTCCCTGACAGGAGGGTGGAGGCAGGAGGGGATCAGCCTCTTCTCCAGGTAGCAAGTGATAGGACAACAGGAAATGGTCTCAAGTTGTGCCAGGGGAGGTTTAGATTGGATATAAGGAACAATTTCTACATGGAAAAGATTGCCAAGCCTTGGAATGGTGTGGCCAGGGCAGTAGTGGAGTCACCATCCCTGGAGGGATTTAAAAGACATGTATATGTGGCACTTGGGGACACAGTTTAGTGGCGGGCTGACAGTGCTGGGGGAATGGTTAGACTCAATGATCTCAGAGGGTTTTCCAGCCAAAATAATTCTGGGATTCAGTGGGATGGAGGCAGGGGTCAGGGGAGCTGCACATGGCTGACATTTGACCATTCCCAGTGCCAAGGCTGGAGCACTAATGCTGTGCTACATAAACAGATTGCATGGAGCCTTACAGATCCAAGTAGAGACAAAATCCCAGGGGAAACAGCTAATTGCCCTGGGGAAGGTCCTTCTTGTGAAGAGGAACAACTTGCTCCCTAAGCCATGTTTGAAGGCTGGGGACTCGTGTTGGAGCAGAGGTGTTTCCCTCTTTTAGAAATCAGAAGGTATCTGCAGAAGTGTTGGGAGCCACCAGGGTGACTGGTGGCAGGGGCTGCACTCCCACCTCCCACAGCCTCAGCTGGAAGGAGCCACCCCATCATCACCATGACCTATTCACGTGGCCTTTGTAAATACAAGGAGGAAGATGCTGGTCCTCCAGTTTGTTTGGTTTTGCTTTCAGAGCAGGACCTGGTGAGGCTGGAGTGTGACGTTGTCCTTACCACAGCACTCTCCTCCAAGCAGAGAGGTGTGCAGGAAACCCACAGGTGCCCTCCCACACATGGGATGGGCACAGCACCCCTCAGAACAGACCTGGTCCTACCACTGGGAAAGGGCCTGCAAAGGCTCATCTTCAACCCCTTCACACAACAACAGCCCAGGGCAGCTGAGCCACCTTTGTGGCAGTTTCACAGTGAACTTGCTGCGGTTCAGCAAACCTCAGGCACACCTCAGCCACTGAGATCTGCATGATGTGAGCCCAGCTCTGCAGGAAAATGAACTTGCTACACTGTCAAAACTTAATTAAAATCTAAAGAACTTGGTGCTCAGGACGCATCCTCTGCTGCAGGCACCCCAAGCTCAGAAGTGCCTGCTGGTGTACCCCACTGTGCACCATGAAGAGACCAGCACAGCTTTCTGCTCTGGAAAATAAACTCAGAAAATGGAGAAAAACTATGAGAAAGGCTCATGCTACACTTGATAACAACTTGCAGCCTCTTGCACCTCTGCTGAGCAAACCACCATTTCCTGAACTGAGGTGTCAGGCATGAAATATTTCACATGCTGGAGCAACCGCCAGCGTCTGCTGAGCGACAAACAGAACTTCAGCCTTTCCTGGTACTTGATGCATAAATCAGGGTGTGTCCTGTGTGGCTGTTTGTGATTCTGTAATTGAAAACTCGCTGTCTTGCCTGGGGAGGCAGCAGCAAAAATGTGTAGCAGTGTAGACTGAGCCTAAATGACTTCCTAGCCAAGAGTTTCTGTAGTGTACAGCACAGCCAGGAGTATCTGTGGCCATCAGGTAAGGCCATATCTGAAGAACCAAGAACATGCTTCTTTTTCCCCATTTATCTACAGATTTATCCATTCCTTTCATCTCGCATCTCACCAATGGGAAATGACACAGCTGGAACTCATGAGCTCATGGCAGCCTGATTTCTGCAGAAGCATTTATTTTTGTTATTATCCCTCCAGGCACTCTTTGACTATCCCACCAATTCCATATCCAAACGTGCCAGTAGCCAGTGTGGTCTGGGGCCACAAGTCAGCTCCTGCTTGGCTCTCCAGTTCACACAGCCTTTTCTCTTCAGGCCTCCACATGGATATACGCCAAGAGAAGCACACCCAAAAGATGGGAGGAAGGGATTCTCCCCTCTACCTAAAACACAGCAGACCACACTAGAACACTGTGCCCAGTTTTGTGTTCTTCCAATACAAGAAAGACACTGACAAAATGGAGAAAAAAATCCCAAAAGCCTGAAGCCACCAGCACAATCAGGGCACCGAGCCCTGGCTGAGAGAGGAGTTGTTCTGCTGGAGAAGGAGAGGTTTTGGGGGCTCATAACACTCTCCTGCCAGGGGCTTATTGAGAGAGAAGACCCAGGCTCTGCCCAGGGTGCATAGTAGGAGCATAAAAGAGAAGGGGGACAAGGGGCAAAAGCCAAAATAATAAGTTAACAAGTTTAGCCAGGATACTAGGAGATGTTTCTTCCTGCAAGTTCAGCCAATGAGTGGGACAGGTCACGAGAGGTTTCCCAGATTGGAAACAGGTCAGGGCAACTTGGTCTGACCCAGCGGCTGACCACAGGCAGGATGCTGAAGCACAGCCCTCCCGAGGTCCCTTCCCATACAAATTATCTTACAAGACTAATTCTGCCATGTTCTTCATACAGAAACCAGATCATTGCAAGTGGTGCAGTCCACCAGAAGCTCTCTGCTTTTCCCCTCATGCTTAGTGCATGGATTAACCACCTCTTAATCACCTTCCTTTAATCAGCAGCCAGCTTCAGACCACACTTACAGAGGAGCTGTTCTGTTTGATTTTTGATTTTTTGTTTCAGTTAAGGTTTATGGTAAGCCTCCTGTTCTTCCACTCCTGCCAGACACAGGAACGCTGCTGTCAGTGTCAGTTCCCCCACTGGTTGCATATTTCTTTACTGCACAAATTCAAATTCAACAGCATAAAGCTCCCAGGTGAACCCATCCATATCAGCTCCAAAAGCAGAGGTGAATCCAACAGAATGTACATTTCTACCACAGCCTTCCACACCAGCTGTGGCATTCTGTACACTAAACTGCTGGCTTAGTATCTACTTTAAATAAATCCCAAAACCACCTAAACTTATTATCCAAGGAAAGATGAAAGATCAATAACAAATACACCCTCCTCTTACCCAAAACCAAGACATACTGGACCAAAAGCTTGGACTGAACCAGAAGGGGGAATTACCTTCACAGGCTGAGACTACTGCAGGAAGATGCAGGGGTCCATCTGCTGCCTGTGTCTGGCTCCAGAGGCACAATGAGATCAGCACAGCCATCACTTCTGCAGAGCCCCAGGAAGCCCAGCCTGCTCTGGGCTCTGATCTAGCACAGCTGGGATCACAAGTGCTTTCAATTTCTCAGGAATTTATTTTCTCAAACGATCTAGATGCAAGAACTAAAGCCCAAGAGGCCCCTTGCCCTCTATAAAATGTGAAAGAGTTCTGTGAAGGCAATTTTAATGTTCATTATTGCTAGAATAAGCCACAGTAGACAATTCCTCATTTCCTACTGAAAAATATAGAAGCAGAGGGTAATTGGCACAGATGAGTTAGGAAGTTGGTGTCTTGGAAGTTCCTCTTTTTTTTGCATTATATTCCTATTCAGACATTGCCTGCCCTCATGCTCCATTGGAACAGAGGAACATGAAAAATAAGGTCAGAAAAAAAAGAACATGTGCAGTGAAAGATGGGGAAAGCTGGAAAGATGGAAGAAACAAACAAAAAAAAAATAGAAAAGGGAAGTTGAGAATCAGTAGAATTTGGCTTCCACTATGAATGAACAAAAACCAAAAAAACCTAACCAAAACAAAAAGTTTCCTTTTGAAAACACAACAGTTACTATGCCAGAGACACATTTCTGCAGGCAGCTCCACCAGAATGTTTTCCTTTTTTTCCTCTACTTTGCAGAGCACTCAGTACTGCTCCTAAATTAGTTTGCTTCATGCCAACCCATGACAGCCCGCAGCACCCACTGCATGGAAACCTCTGTTTTACTGATCTTCAGAGGGTAAAGCAAAATTAAATCCAAGAATGACTGCAGCAGCTTTAAGCTACTTGCAGTTCAAACAAGATACAAACTCCCTTAGATAGAATTGCCTGTTCAAGAGTTACTAAAACTACAGGGTCTAGGTTTACCTGCCTTTAATTCTTCCCCAGTGTCCCAGTAAATTAGTCTGGGGTCTTCTCTCCAAGGCCAGGATATCGGCAAACCAGTGTATGTCCACTGTCAGGACTGCCCTTCTGGAATCTGAACCACTTCTATGCTTGGGTAACAAGCAATAAAAAAATTAAATTATATCAGAGTACCTTTGCAGAGAGGAGCTGATGTGTTGCCAGCTCCCAGCCTGGCTCTGCTGCCCTTGGGAGGCTCCTGCCTCCTGCTTCCAGATAAATGGATCTATTGGCTCCTTTCCCTTCCCCCAGTGCTAAATAACATCACTGCAGAGCCCTGGCTGGTGGCAGGATGCAGCCACTGAGAAGTGCCCCTGGGTCAATTGCACGATGGAAAACCCCAGCGCTGAGCTCAGCTGAAGAGCTGAAGCTTCTGGTTACAACACTCAAATGCAAATGGAAATAAAAAACTTTAACAAAGTAAACAGCACCACACTGAATCATGCAAAAAATGCATTACAGCAGCTTTACTTCCTATTTCCTTTTCCTTACAGCTTTGAAAATTATACCTGCAGAAGGCCTTGGGGCTTTTGTGGACTATTGCTTGTGATCAGGCTGCTATGGGACTGGCTGAGTATTCAGGAGCCATGTACCACAGACCCACCACTTCCATAGGATCATCATTTAGGGTGGAAAAGTCCTTTAAGACATCTGGCCAG